AGGAGAAAGCTACTGCTGTGAGCCTCTGAAAGTCTTGAGATTTCTCTTCAGAAAGCTAGGCTCTGGTGCGCTACAGGAAGCATGGAAATTTGACTGGCCCCTCATATTTGGGCTAATAGTGAAGGTCAATGTCATGAACTTTTTCCCATTGTTTTCTGGTTGGTTTTTCTTTTTCAACCCAGCCACTGAGCCACAGCACCCCAAGGTAGTTGGAGAGCATATAATCCCCAGTAGATAGGGTCTGCAGCCCCTTCCCACAGCACCCCATACATGATTATGGAGATTTGTCTCTCAGGGAGAAATGACATAGAAGATTAGGGCATGGCAAAGCTGGCTGGGAAGTGGATATGACCTACTAATTAGAAGATCACAGAACAGGTATGAAAGCCCTAGATCTGGTCTTCTGTCTCGAACCGAAGCAGGTTTTCAGTAAGATGACCTAGACCTGACATCAACCTGGGGCATGGGATCCTAGCACTGCCTCTCAGGACCTGTATGTAGAAGTTCCTATGGGTTTTCTTGAGATTTGGACACTATAAAAGCACACAAATGCCAGGATCATGGCTTTCCTCACAGTAGCTCACACTGCTTTCCCCAGGGTGTTCTTTTATCTTGTTTGTTCCTATTTCATTCAGCGCAAGCTCACTCTGCAGAGCCAGTTCCCACCTGTCTTTGCTTTTACGTTTTCAAATAAACTCTGCCACTGCTTAAGGAGCATAAAACACTTTTTTGTCATAAAGTCTCATAAACAGCAGTGTGTCAAACCCACATTTATTGTTTAGAATATATCTATTTAGGAATTATTAATTTTAATATGAATTTTATTAAACAATGACAGCTCAATAGGGTAAAATACCACTTTAAGTATTGGATTTTTAACATATACTGAGTCTTTATTAAAAAAACCATCAAAATTTTTGACATCAACTGGCTTTGCTGTACAAAGTCTAAAAAAGAACAATAGAAATAAATTCCTATATGAATCAATAAAAATACCAATAGCAGCTGGGCGTGGTAGTGCATTCCTGTAATCCCAGCCCTCAGGAGGCTGAGGCAGGGGGATCACTGTGAGTTCGAGACCAGCCTGGGCTACAAAGTGAGCTCAAGGCCAGCCTGAACTGCATAGAAGTTCCTGTCTCAAAAAGACAATAAAGCAAAAAACAAAAAACAAAAAGAAACCCAACAGCACTATACAAAAAAATAATCTTTACTTCAGTTATCACACCCAAGGCAGTCTGCACACAGGACAGCATTATGTTCCATACACAGTCATTGCTTGCACTGACGGCATATGTGTTTTTTTTCCTGGCCGTTTTGTAGGACATACTTGACATGTCACTGGGCTTGTTGTTTTCTCAGCAGGTTCTTTTTTTATTTTAAAGAGAATAATAGTAAAAAGAACAAAAGCAAAATATAAACAACAAAGACAAAAACAAAACAAAGCAAAAATAATAAAAATGATATGGGATTTCAGAACAAAATGATAGGAATTAACAGTGGTTGTTATATTAAAGAGGTTCTTATTATATTATGCAGTGTGTAGTTAACACAAACATAAAATATCAGTAAAATGAAGTATTATATCTTAATATGTATAGAGTGTTTAGAATAGAAACCAAGCCAGGCACATAGTTCAGTGGCACAAGTGCCTGCCTGGCAAGCGCAAGGTCCTGAGTTTGATTCCTGGTACCAGAAAAAAAAAAAAACTAGAACAGACATCAACATTTTTACATCAGCTGTGTACTTTCTTACAAAACCTAAGAGGCACCATTAGAAATAAAAACCTAAAGGAGTCACAATGTAAACACAGACAAAAGTCTACTAAAGAAAGAGTCTTTGTTTTAACTGTCAGACCCAAGGCACTTCTCACATATACAACTGCATGTTCCATGCACACATCTCTCTTACACAGACAGCACATGTGCTTACCTTTTCCTTTCTATGTGGCAGT